GAGCACCTGACTTCAGGTGATCTACCCACCTCAGCCTCCCAAAGTACTGGAATTACAGGCATAAGCCATTGCACCCAGCCCGTATTTCTGTTTTGAAACAGAACCTCCCCTGATCCCAAACCTCCCCATAGAGCCCCTGACTTTGATTAGAGCTTGGGAATCCATTTAAAAATTGGTTTCCTCGAAAAAACAAACTCAAAGGAATGGCAAATCGCAAAGTGTGGATTGGTAAACATAGTAATGAATAAAATTATATTCAAAAGGTTGGTGTATATGAGATTTTTCTCCCCTACAACCCAGGAAAATAACTGCACTTTATTAATACAGAATAATCACATATTTACCTGCTCATGAGACTATCAACTCACTTTTTAATATAAAGAACATAATTATCACTGAAAAACAAAAATGTAGCAACATCATTATTTTTTTAAGCATGGATAATTTTCCTCTGGAAACTTGATAAAAATATATATATATATAAAAAACAGCAATTTAAAATTATTCCCCTTATACATTTTAAACTGAACCCGATGTCTTTCCCACCATTTTGAAAACGGAAGGTGGTCTCTAAAGGAACTCCCGCTGAAGTGTATTTTCACAATGAGCTGATTAAGACAGTGCAGTTGTTTCCCCTTACAACAAACATTTAAAAATAAACTAAACAATTCTAAAGTGAATTAAGTTGCTTACCTTTGAGCCTCGCTCATTAAAAATAATTTCAACATCTAAGATTTTACCAAATTGCTGCAAAGAAATAGAAATATCTTATAAGCAAGAAGAGAAATGCAGTAGACATTATTAGGTACAGTAGTAATTGTTTCCGACGCCAATTTTTTCTCTTAATATCAAGGATATACATTTTATGTTTTATGGCTAATGGGCTTGAAACAAGAGAAAACAAAACCACCCATATTTTCTCCTTATTAAGGAACACACCAACAGGGCTTGGTACAAAATATTAAGAGGTGAATTCTACTTTACTTTTTCTTTTTCTTTTTTTTTTCCTGTGTGCATGTCTGCGTTCCCAGGCACTGAGCAGCAAAGATTTAAAAGTGGCTAGTATGTATATACAATGACCCTTCTGGTCTATCCCACCAAACAATGGAAGAAACACCCTTGATGAAATGCGATTTTGATAATCAATGTCCAGTGAGAATTTGATGTGACTGGTTTTGGCTCCCAGCTCACATAAAATCTAGGAGCAGCTCTATCATATGAGAAAGAAACTATGAACACAAAAGCAAACTCCACTATCCAGGCACCATCATCATGATGGTATCAGCAGTTGTAATCAGTGCTTGGGCTGAAATTCTCTATATTATTAAACAAACAGATTTTAGATAACTAGCATGACTAGGCTCTATGAAAAGTCCAGAAACAGAGACTCAGATTATAAATAGAGACAAATAAAATGCAGACACCTGGTTAAATTTAAATTTCAGATTTTTCAGGATATGTCACACGCAATATTTGGGACATACTTATACTTAATATCTGGTTTATTTGAACTTCAAATTCAATGACTGCGTCTTACATATTTTTTAAATTGGTGAAATCTGGAGTTTCCAGTGAGAAATGCACATCAAGCAATTCTTGATTCACGTTTCAAAATGGAGAGTATGGGCCCTAGAACTACGGGCATCAGATCATCTGAAATCCTTTCCTCCAACCTTGGAAGTTTTTCAGTTTTCTGAGATTACACGAAGTAGTGTGGGCATTTCTTGAGTATAATAGACTAACCTGCGTATGGGCAGGGAAGAGAGAAGGTGATGTAAAATCATGTACCGTGGCCCAGGAAAAATAAAACGAGAATTTTATCTCCATGCAGAATGAGAGCAAATGCCCTTTGAGTGATTAAAAATTAAACAGGGCAACATAAATATTTCCATCCTATTTTTTGGTTTTGTTTTGAGCTTTCCTATCATTCCATTCACTTCGGCATTCTGGATTTTAATTGCATCCTTTATGACCCTCAGAGGTTCTGTATTCCATTTCCCCCCTGAATGGACAGCATTACACGTACTTCCATGTAGCAGAGGACAGAGTGACTGGGGTGTGAGGGGTGGGGCAGGATGAAAAAGGAACAAACAAAAAGACCACACGAGAAGCAGGGGAGGTTTGCCTGACCAATGTGTTCCAGTCAGAGTATCCAGAGACGCAGAGAGTGAATGTCAAGAGGGTCCTACTAACATTCAAGAAACAAACTATTTAGAACATACAGATGCTATCCTCTGGAATGTACAAAGAAATCCACCCTCCCCGAAACAGTAGAAACAAGTGTGTATGCCACTGGAATACAGACAGCTCAGTCTTGAAATAAAAATAGTTCTGACTATGGAAAAAAGTAACCAAAAGTTTGTCATTCTGTACCATAGAAATGTGCCCATGCCTCAGGATCCATACACTATCCAGCCAGGGGAATCATAGACGTGCATATTTCTAGTTGTGAAACAAAGAACTACTAGTACTTCTGCTCAGAGTAGCAAAGGATAGGAAGAAACCAAGGCGAAAATACTCAGAAGAGAATACAGAAATGGGTCACATTGCTCGCACACACAATGGAAACGCCAACAAACATGCAGCTAACTCATCCTGCAATTTGTGGACTTAGATCTTTTGGTCAAGAGAATTCCTTTACAGAGCATTTTCAGTGCCCCAGTTTTAGGCAGAGAAAAATCACTGGAAATAGAAGAAAACTTTCAGATGGGGGAAATGAAGGATTTGCCGTTCAAATGTGAACTGAATTTCATAGTAAAGAAACCTCCAGTTTTGTGAACTCCTCAAGCAGTAATTTTGATACAAACACCCTAGAATATTCAGTCTATACAGACGCTATCATATTTATTTCAGGCATAAGAGCCTAGAAGCACATATATTTACAGAAAGAGAAGCTTGACAAGGACTTCTTCCAAAACCACGATGCAACTGTCATCTATGGAACATTCTCTAGGCAGTCAACCCAAAAACATTTCCTTTAAAATAAGATCTGATTGAGACAGAACCAATCAAACAGCAGTCTTAGCATGTGTCATTCCCTAAATGAAACAATGACATCAGCTGCCCTGAAATGGTCTCAAAGTTTGCTTCTGTGGCAGTTGCTGTTAGGTTGACGGTTCTCAAAGCCAGTGAAACAAGCCCGAAGAAGAATGCTGATGTAAGCCCCATTTCCAAGACAGTTGTGTACTATATTTATAGTATCAACAGTTTAATTGGGAAGTTTGCTACTAATGATGTAAACACAGCTGGCACATTTTCAATTTAAATAGACACAACTCATTCGCAGACATAACTAGCATTTGTTTGCTCAACAGCAATGTTCAGCTGCATTCAACAACGCCTCAACTCCACACAAGGTGTCTCAATAGCTGTATCCAGAACAGGATCCAGGCCAGGCACGGTGGCTAACACCTGTAATCCCAGCACTTTGGGAGACTGAGGTGGGCAGAACATGAGGTCGGGAGTTCGAGACCAGCCTGGCCAACATGGTGAAACCCTGTCTCTACTAAAAATGTAAAAATTAGCCAGGCACACTGGCAGGAGCCTGTTATCCCAGCTACTTGGGAGGCTGAGGCAGAAGAATCACTTGATCCTGGGAGGTGGAGGTGGCAGTGAACCGAGAATGTGCCACTGCGCTCCAGCCTGGGCGACAGAGCGAGACTCCGTCTCAAAAAACAAAACAAGATCTAGAAGTTTACAGGCACACACTTGGGCAAATATGTACCAAGCATTTTTAGATGTTCTCAGATCAAACAATATTTCTCTGAAAAACTGTGAAGGATGTTCAATGGATACAGCATAAAACATAAAGGTTAGTTCAAAGATTGTGCATAGTGGCCAAGGAAAGGCATCATCCCAGTTTTTCTTAGTGTCAGCTTCGTGTTCAGAATGCAGAAGTAGGAGGTACCACGCCCTATCCCACCATAATGGCCTCACTCCTCATAACATCATGGTAGATGGAACTTTGCATTAACATCATAAGTACAGGCAAGCCCGTCTCATTACTAAAAAGTGACCTTGAAATCTTCCTTTGCATGTGCTGAAAGTCATGTGATCTGTTTTGTGTGACAATAAAGAGAGGTTCAGTGGACTATTTTCCTGCCCAGAGGGCCCATATTTTGTTTTCTTGTGTTTTTTGATTTTATTGCTGTAAAAACTGGGTCTCCCTATGTTGCCCAGGCTGGTCTCAAATTCTCGAACTCAAGCAATCCTTCCACCTCGGCCTCCCAAAGTCCTGGGATTACAGGTATAAGCCACCACCATGCCTAGCCAAGAGGGTCTGTATTTTGACCCCTAAAGTAAGGCTTGCAGAATCAACAAGGGTGTTGTGTAAATTTGAGAACTGCAGTCACTGAGCAACTGTTTGACAATTCCGTGATGGCATCCAGAACATCCATCCATCTGTTGTAGCAGAGGTCTGGATATATCACAATCCACTTCTCTCACTTCAAACCCAGAATGTTTAAATTTTAAATATTAAGTTAAACATTCTATTCAGGGCACCATATATTGCAATTAATTTGTTAGAAATCCATATATTCCTCTCTTGAGATCATCAAACATTTATCTGTAAAGAAAATGCAAGTTCATGCATGATACCTAACATGAAGACAAAGCTCCAGTAAAAAGGAGCCACGTATAAAACTAACACCCCTTCCAATGAACCATTTAATATCAATGCCACTGCACAGAACAGCTCCATTCACTTGGACCTCAACTAGCATTTTTTAAAGACTGTGGCTTCTGCTTTGTACGTTGTAGCCATATAACATCTTCCCCAAGGAATGTTCCATCTCAAATGAAAAAAAATAAGATGAGCTAGAAGATTTAATGCCAAACATGGGAACAAATGCCTCCATTGAGTACAAAGTAAAGAATATGAAAAAGGTAATCAGAATCCCAATCTTCATGAAGAAGTGCTGAAGATACAAATTAAAAATAAAATGAGTCACCTGCAGTAACCATTAGGCATGCAATGGTTGCAGATGGCATGGTCGAATTATTAATGGTTACAGACGTTGTAATGACCACTGCCAAGTTTTAGGCAGTTTGAAGAAGGAGGTTCCTTTTTTGTCTTGTTTTGCTTTTGACTTTAAAATCCCATGCCTGTATTTAACAAGAGACAAAGAGAGGGGAAAGCACAAAGATCTTTGTGACTGTTTATCTCTGTAATTGTCCTCACTGTAACCCCTGTCAAAGTGGGAAGACAAAGACAGGACAGAGCGCCAAAAGGAGAGAAGATGTCTCATGTCCAAATGATGTCGGAAGTACCTAATTGGAGTTAAACTGTAGTTTCTTGCAGTAACTATGACCTGAAAGAGAAAACCCTCCTAAATTCCCTAAACTCCAGTGCGGGGAGCCAATGAGAATGTTTACAGATGCTTCACAATGTGATTCCTGCCGCTAAATGTATCCTATAACAAGAATGACTCTGTGACCACCACCATTTGGCAGGAAACAACAGATTTTTAGTGCATAAAACTGCATTTCTTTAGAATGGTAGTTGTAAACTATGGAGGCTTAAGAGTCATTACAAGGGGGTCTGTGAATCTGTATGTTCCTGGTACTTTTATAGACAAAATTTACAGAAAAAATAAAGCTTTCAAAAAATCTTTCAGAAAAAATAGTTTCAAAAAATGGACACAGATGCTACTTGTGATGAACAAGGTTAAGTTTGTGCTACTGAATGCATGGTGCATTCTCTTAATTGATAGGCATTAAGTGTATCTATCATCTTGTCAAATTGACATCTTGTCAGTTGCTTGAAAATCTTGACTATAAAGTGATGGCACACGCATGTAGTCCCAGCTAGTCAAGAAGCTGAGGAACGAGAATCGCTTGAACCCAGGAGAAAGACTGCAATGAGCCGAGATCATGCCACTTCACTCCAGTCTAGGCAACAAAATTAGACTTTGTCACAAAAAAGGGGGGCTACTGGATATGTGCAGTACCTCACATCTCACGCTGTAATCCCAGCACGTTGGAAGGCCAAGGTGGGAGGGTTGATTGAGGCCAGGAATTTGTGACCAGCCTGGACAACGAAGTGAGACCCCATCTCTATTTAAAAAAAAAAAAAAAAAAAAACTTAAAAAAATTAGCCAAGCATGGTGGCTTGTGTCTGTAGTCTCAGCTACTTAGGAGGTTGAGGTGGGAGGATCCCTTGAGCCCAAGAGTTTGCAGTGAGCGTGATCACACCACTACACTCTAGCCTGGGTAACAGAGTGAGAACTTGTCTTTTTAAAAACAAGAGCCGGGCCAGCACTTTGGGAGGCCGAGCTGGGTGGATCACAAGGTCAGGAGATCGAGACCATCCTGGCTAAAATGGTGAAACCCCGCCTCTACTAAAAATACAAAAAAGCGAGCTGAGCGTGGTGGCGGGCACCTGTAATCTCAGCTACTCGGGAGGCTGAGGCAGGAGAATGGAGAGAACCCACGAGGCGGAGCTTGCAGTGAGCAGAGATTGTGCCACTGTACTCCAGCCTGGGCAACAGAGTGAGACTCTGTCTCAAAAAATAAACAAATAAAAATAAAAATAAACAAATAAATAAAAACAAGCACCCTGAAACTAGTAGATTTGGATCAAGGTTTGATGACAGGTAGTACAATTTTTTGGCAAGATCTTGCTCCTTGCCGTCTACCCTAACTCTATAAGACTAGAGAGACTCAGAATCCCTTCTCTGATTCCTGTGAATATTTTGAATACCTCTGTGACTTAGCATTGTAGCCTGCAGTAACTTTCACGATAACTAAGAAAACTATGGGGGGAAAGCCCCCTAAAGGGTGGAACTTGGGGTGAGCTGCAATGAGTGACACCATAAAAGAGTGTCAAGACGCTTATTAAGGGGATTGAATTCAAAGCCAACATCACAGTGACACTTGATGAGAAAAAACAGACCGCACAGCAAGACATCTTCCTAACCTGACATGGCAAAGAGAATATAACTCCTCTTACTGCCCATCATTTAAACCTGGTCTTACTGCCTCACACACACTTAACCTCAACTCTCACTTTGAATGCTCTGCACTTTTCAAAGTCATCTTTGACCTGAAAGTGCCCGAGGGTATCTGTTCTGCAGGAGTTGGAGGGGCTCAACTCAAGGTTATTACCAAATGAGAGAGATAAAAGTGCAAGAGCTGACCTTTTCCTCTGAAATGTCAGCATTCAAAGCTGGGTATCTTAAATATTAGGATGCCTGCTCTGCTTTTGTGTCAGATGCATACTTGATAAGCATCGTGTGTGTAAGAAGTAAAAGGTGCAAGCTAATCCCCAACACACAGTGCCTTTTGAGAAGTGAACCAGAGCCTTCCATTTTATACGGAGAACAACACCACAGTGACTCAGAATGGGCATCTTCTTGTTCCTTTTGTGATATTTGCATCCATTTATAAACTCCTAGAGGAGGAGTCTCTGAGCAGCCCACCTTTGCTCTAAGTCAAATGTTAAGGATGTAATTCTTTTCACTGAATCCACAGGCACCTGCTATCATTGCTGGGATGTCATGGGCAAATTGGCTACATTCACAAACGTGAAAGATATCCAAGCCCCGTCATAGCCTTGTCCTTTGGTTGAACGGAGGTCAAAGAAATGGCAAACTCATGGCTTCCCAAAGTGGATAGTGAAGATATCTTTGAGAAAAAAAATAATCAGGGGCAAGATGATCTATAAAAAAGCAATGCTATTATATTCTCCTGTGCTAGTGGTGACTTGTGGCCTGCTCTATATTTCACCATGGTGCCTGGGCATGGCTACCCTTCATGGCATATAGCACCACAGTAAGTGCCTCTGAATCCCTGTCACTAATTTCAGAAAAATGTAGACTTCAGGAATCAACATGAACTTAGAAACTGGTAGCTCATTTGGTGTTGGTGGTGGTGGTTTTGCTTTGTTTGCTAAAATCAGCTTTATGCAGAATTAGTTGTTCTCTATTGCTGCATCTGAAATCTAAATGCACAGTGCCTGGGAAAGACTAGGGAATGCAGGAATACACTATGAGTCACCCTCTGGATAATCTGACAACTGCAAAAGAAAGCAAAACCAAGAGGACTCGGGGTGTATTTTTGCTACAGTATGATGCCCTGGGCCATTGGATTTAGGACCATCAATAGGCTTCTTTCAACAGTGGGTCATCTAGGAATTTGTTTTCCATTTGGCCTTCAAGTTACTTCTTAGAAGAAAACAACTTGGCAAAGTAGATACATGGTGAGCATATGTACAGAAATATACGCTAAAACCATAAAGAGATTCTAGCCACAATATACCCAAAAACTAGACTCTAAAATGTTTCTCCCCGTGCAAACATCTAACCTTAGTATTGTAAATACCCCCAAACTTACACGAGACAGGGAGGTCTCTGGAAACCCCAGAGCGGGCACTGCTGAGAAGAAAGGTGGTACTTACACCAAACATTTGTCTGAGGTCCGGATCCCGGAACCTGAAGGGGATATTGGAGACATGCAGCCGCTTGGGCTGAGACTTGTTTTCCGTGTTTTCAGAAGGTTGTGTCTGGGGCTGGCCATCCGTTGGTGCTGCATCATCTGTCTGCTAAAAGAACAAGAAGAAATCGAAGAGGTTGAGTGGACCACAATGCTCTGTTCCAACGCGCTTTTGCTTGCCCTGAGTGGCAGGAAAAGATCAGAACTAAGGATTCTGAGATGGGAAGAAAATGCTGAGGCATGCATGCATGCATTCATTCAACAAGTGTTTTCTGAGCATCCACTGAGTGCTCATGATGAATCTGGGATTGGGCAGTGGGCAAAGCAGACAAAAATCCCTGCCCTCGGGGAGCATCATTCCAGATAATAAATCCATAAATAGAGTGTTGGCAGACAGAGAAAAGCACTATAGGCTAGAAAAAGCAAAGGAAGGGGACTGGGAGCTGCTGGTGTTGGGAGGTGGGGAGTGGGAACCTCATCAAGAAGGGGGTAATAATTATTACAGGCAGGAGACTGTGTATTTCTTAACTGATGCGGTTCAGAATCTGAAGATATGCCTACATAATTGTTCAGGTAATTGTGCAGATAAAATATAATTAAATGTAAAAAATTTGAAAAGACTAGTTGGCATTCTGGAGTTCAAATAACCAGCTGATTGACTTACTCTTTTAAGATTCTAATTGTACAAACTTGTGCTGTCCACTACAGTTGACCACATGTGACAATTTACATTTAACTGAATTAAAATGATATATTTAACTTCGTTTGCATTAGCTGCATTTCAAGTGCTCAAGAGCCACATGTAGTTAGTGCTTCCATGCTGAGTACTGCAAATACAGAATGTTTCCATCTCTACAGAAAGTTCTGCTGTGCTGTTTGCCTAGACCGTGTAACATTATTAGCATAACTCATTGTTTCACCACCCCTGACTTCCAAATAAGGCTGTATAACATGTTACATTGACACCCATATATAGGCAGGAACTAGGGGAAAAGTCACAGTCACATTATGTATCATTATAGCCACTGCCATACTCTCAGTTCTAGAGTTTTAACATTTCAAACATTTAACATGGGATACTTTCTCTGCAATTAGCATGTGTTGCCTCTAGGTGGCAGTAAATGCCATCCACATCAGATACCAACTTTGAAACTATGATAGAAAGCTTATGCAGAAGCCTATCAAACTTATGAGTGAGGAATCATCCTCACCTATTTATAAGCAATCTAGAAGTACATAATTGGGACAAAACTATCAATATAGGCAGCCAGGTGTAAAATAATAACGACTTAGAGGAGAGAATCTTACAAAGTGAAATACAAAACACTCAGATAACACGGGCATAATTAGCAAGTTTCTCAACAGCCCTGGTATTTACTGGAAGGTTTCATTTGCATTTTCCTTCCTAACACACCCTGAATTGCATGTTGAAGTAAAGACTTCCCGTTGGCTCGCAAACCATTCTTCCAAGCTGCTCTGGTACCAAAAGCCCTACCAGTTGACTTCAAGTTTGAAGTGCAAAGTCATGTATTTAGACTATGTATTTAGTCATTTTGCCTATACTGTTGGATTGAATATGAAGCAGTACGATGGTCATTTTCTTAACTGGAAAATAAAGAATAATGAGTTCATACCTTTTAAGGCTTTGTGATTGAATAATGTATGCTAACTTGGCCAAGTTCCCGGTATATATTCAATAAATGGAAAGTAACGAACTGTCTAGAGTAATGGTAATTTTTTTAAATACCAAAAAGAGAAATAAACCTCTTTTGAGAAACACACAGGAAAGGTTGTCATTTGCTTATTTTTAAAGTGTTTACACATCTTTACTAAGCAACTGCTTTGTGTTAGACACATAAATCAGCCCTCCAAGTCACACGCAATTCCAACTTTAGTGAATGACACCAATAGAGAAAGACAATCATAAATAGAATCATTTTGTCATTGTTTTTTGTTGTTTTCTTGGAGTTGGGTCTTGGTCTGTCACTCAGGCTGGAGTGCCGTGGCACAATCATGGCTCACTGCAGCCTTGAAACCCTGGGCTCAAACAATCTGCCCACATCAGCCTTCCAAGTAGCTAGGACTACAGGCATGCGCCACCACACCACCACACCAAGCTAATTTTTATTTGCAGAGACAGGGTCTCACTATGTTGCCCAGGCTGGTCTTGAACCTCTGGCCTCAAGTGATCCTCCTGCCTCAGCCTCCCAAAGCACTGAGACTACAAGCATGAGCCACCATCCGCAGCCAATACAGACTGGTAAATGTTGGGATAAGAGGCAATCACAAAGGGCTGAGTAACCTTAAATCAGGGTCATGTAACACTGCTGGAGGTTCAGCAAGGGTTGCCAATTCTGGAGGTTAAATTTTAAGTGGGAGATATCTAAGAGAAGAGGTGAAAAGGACTGAGGCTATACCGAGACAGGGCAGCGTACGTGCAGAGATGTCAAATGATGTCTTGGATTCAGAGAGTATGTGTAGCTCCAGCACCACTGGTCAGATGAGGCAGGTATGAAGGGAAGGCAGGAGTGGAGGTTTCAAAGATAGTCAAGGGGCTAGAGCAAAGGACACTGTATGAAACAAGAGTCTGAGCTTCATCCTAAGAGCAATAAGGAGCCACCTAAGGATCACAGCAAGAGGGTGGTACGACCAGCTTGTGACACAAATGATAAATGTCTGTTTAATGGTTGGCTGACTCACTGACCGGAAGTACATGAATAAACAAATGAATGAAGAAGTGTACAATCAACGTCACCACCTTCATGTGATAGTTGAAGAACAACGTTGTAACACTGAAACCCAAACAGAGCAGAATGTGGGTTTTCTCCGCTGAGAATACGAGGTTTGGTGCCATGTCCATGACACAGAAACGAGCTTGAATCATGCAACTGTCCCTTTTCAGATTGTAAGGGGTTTTAGCACTCTACACCCGGACTCGGAGTTTACAGATGCTATAGCTGAAACCCCCAGCTTTCAGTCCATTTTTTTTTCCATCCTGTTAGAAGTTTCTGTTTCAATGCAAAAATAAAATGAGCTCCTTCCTACCCTGAGAAGGAAACATAGATTTGGATTTGTGTACAACTGCTGGATGTTTCAGCTTAATGAACCTAATTAGGAATTACAGAGATTATGATTAAACATATTAAATGATTAATAGCATTGTGCCACTCATGTGAAAATTAAAATTAATCATCTCTAGTCAAACAGCACTTTGGAGAAATCTTTGCATTGTTTCCTTTGATAAAAACATACAATGCTCAATTAATCATTTCATAGTATATGCTTATATACAAATGCCTATAAATTGTTATAGAGAAATACCTGTGTATTAAAAAGAATCCTTAAAGAAAGCATGCAAAAAAAAAAAAAGTGAGCCAAAAGTGTTTCAGGTCATTGTGGGTGTATGGAAAGGGAAAAAGAGGAGTGTTAGGAAGTAGAGGTTGAGGAGTGAAGAAAACAACAGAAAAAGGAAATCTCTTTCAGCCTGCATGCCTTTTATGTGGTGGGATGCAGCACAATGAACCAGGGTTTTGGAATCACGCAGACCATCTCTGTTATTTGCTAATCTTAGGCAGGTCACTGTTCTTCTCTGACCCTCAGTTTACTTTTCCATCAAAGGACATTAATGGGGTAATGGGGCCAGGTGCAGTGGCTCATGCCTGTAATCCCAGCACTTTGCGAGGCTAAGGTGGGAGGATAATTTGAGACCAGCCTGCAAAATAGTGAGACCCTGTCTCCACTAAATAAATTTTTTTTAAAAAGCTGATTATGGCCATGTGCCTGTCATCCCAGGTAGTTGAGAGACTGAGGTGGGAGATGGCTGGAGCCCAGGACATCAAGGCTACAGTGACAGAAAGTCACACCACTGCACTCCAACCTGGGCAATGGAGCAAGACTGCCTCTAAAACAAAAACAAGGCTGGGCGCAGTGCCTCACACCTCTAATCCCAGCACTTTGGGAGGCCGAGACGGGCGGATCACGTGGTCAGGAGATCGAGACCATCCTGGCTAACACGGTGAAACGCCTATAGTCCCAGCTACTTGGGAGGCTGAGGCAGGAGAATGGCGTGAGCCTGGGAGGCGGAGCTTGTAGTGAGCCGAGATTGCGCCACGGCACTCCAGCCTGGGCGACAGAGCGAGACTCTGTCTCAAAAAAAAAAAAAGAAAAAAACAAACAAACAAACAAAAAAAACCAAAAAAAACCAAAACAAAAAGGACACTAATGGTACTAAGCTCACAGGATCGTGGGAAGGACCAAATGCAGCAGGAGATGACAGAGCAGCTACCACAGAGCCTAATGCATGTTGGGGTTAGTGATCGTCACCAACCCCTCCACTGAGTGTGATGTTTTTCTTCCCCTTTTTCTGGGACCTTAAAACAAGCCTGAGTTTTATGTCTCTATATTTGTTTTCTGAAAGATGACCACAAAGCTGGTGGCTTAAAGCCACTGGACTTCATTCTCCTGTAGTTGTACAGACCAGAAATCTAAAATCAAGGTGCCAGGAGGGCCACACTCCCTCTAAAAGATATAGGGGGAGAATCATGCCTTGCCTCATTTAGCTTTTGGTGGCTGCAGGCATTCCTTGACTTGGGTTTGCATCCTTCCATCCTCTGCTTCCATCTTCACAGGCCCTATTCCCTCTACATGGCTGAAATTCCAATTTCCCTCTTCTTTTTTCTTAAAAAGATACTAGGGTCGGGCACGTGGTGGTTTAAGCCTATAATCCCAGCACTTTGGGAGGCTGAGGTGGGCAGATCACAAGGTCAGGAGTTCGAGACCAGCCTGACCAAAATGGTGAAACCCCGTCCCTACTAAAAACACAAAAATTAGCCAGGTGTGGTGGCACATGCCTATAATCCCAGGTACTCAGGAGGCTGAGGCACGAGAATTGCTTGAACCCAGGAGGCAGAGGTTGCAATGAGCTGAGATTGCACCATTGCACTCCAGCCTGGGTGACAGAGCGACACTCTGTCTCAAAAAAGGATATGAGTTGTTGAGCCCACCCTAAATCCAGGATGATTTTGTCTTGATCCTTAATTACATCTGCAAAGATCTCCTTGCCCTCCCCTACCCCTGCCAAATAGGATCATGTTTATGGAAGTTATAACA